TCTAACTAATATTTTGGTCATAATGGTTTGCTACTTTGTTTATTATTTACTTTATTTATTTGGGTTCGTTGTTTTTTGTTTTGTTTTTTTTTTTGTTTTTTTTTTGTTATTTTTTTTTTATTATTATTATTCTATTTCGTCTATTCTAACAGGTGTGATTTGGTAATTTGTTTGGATTAATTAATTTTTCTTATTTTATTGTTATTTTGTTTACTTGTTTATTTATTTGTTTTATTTTTTTTTTCCGTTTTCAATTTTTAAGTAACGTAGTAAAAATTTGTTTTCATGTCTGCATTTTTGAGATGAGCTCGGATCTTTTATTTAATAATTTATTTTGGTCTGGGAAAGTAATGATAACTATTTTTTCCTCCAAGCAAAGTTTGCAAGTTTTTGATTGGTTGTTGTAGGCTGGTGATCTTTTCCTTATTTTCCAAGATATTTTGGTGTGATGTGGGTTTTTGTTTTTAATTTCCCAGATATACTTAGAAAGCATTGTACTGTTCGCATATTTACTATTTGTGAAAGATGTTTTGTGTGTATAATTTCTTTGTTTCAGGGTCCTTCAGTTACTCCTATGTATACTTTTTTTCATTATCTGGTGATTTTATCGTGGCTTGGTATATTACGTTTTTTGTAAACAATTTCAGTTTAAGGGACATTCGTTCTTTATTCTGCAGTTGCACGTGGGTTTAATTTGTTCGTGTGGTTTTTGATAATTTTCCTGTTGTGCTTTTTATTATTTGCGCCATGTTCTCAGTGCAGCTGTAGCTGATGTTTACTGTGTTTTGTTGAGTATTTTGTGTAGGGTGCTTGATTCAGGAAGAGTTTGTGTAAGAGTTTGAAGAATATTTTTCTACGTTTGTTTTTACGTTTTTGCTGTACGGTGGGTTGAACCATATGATATTTCTTTTCCTGTTGGCCTTTTTTGTGTTTTGTGGCGAGTATGTTAGTGCTGCTGGGAATCCGCTATCTTTTAGGGCTGTTTCATAGTCTTTCTTAGCTTTGAAGACTATGAAACATGGGCATGTGTGATGGCTTGGGAATGGAGTAATTCTTTAGGATAGAAGTTGCAAAGAAATCGGGGCGTAGATTTATATTGTACTTTTGTCTTATTTTTCCAAACTTAAAAGCCTTGATAAACCAATGACATCCTTGCTTTTGTATATAAATACGCACAACAAAATAAATCCTACATTGGCCTTGATAAAGTCCCTCAGATGGTGAAACGTGTCGGCTTAGAATAGTTTTTCCTCTTTTCTTTTTATTTATTTTATTCCTTTACAGATACACACTATCTGAAAATAATTGAAATATATATATATATTGGGGTGGGGCTTTGCTTAAAAATGAACGGCTCGTTCAATAAACCCTTCAAAAAATTAAAATGAAAAAAAAATCATGTCTGATCTTTATTGATTTAGTCAGACATAAAGATGCCGGGTGGAGGTAAAAAAAATGCTCAACACGTCTTCGTAGATAAACAAGAAATAGAAATTTGTGTTAGATAAAAAGTTCCTTCAATTTTTACCTTTAGATGACATTAAGAGCGTTTAGTTTTAAACAACTCCATTAAAACATATCACATTTGTATTTTCATAGCTATCATATCACCGTGCATATAAAAATGTATCTGTACACATAAAAAGATTTACACACACACACACACACACACACACACACACACACACACATATATATATATACATATAAAAAAGTATATATATATATATATATATCTGTACATATAAAAAATATATATATATATCTGTACATATAAAAAAGTATATATATATATATATATATATATATATATATATATATATCGTCAGACATTATTTTAAGACATTTTTTTATGTTTATAAAGAACGTATAAACATAAAAAAAATGTCTTAAAAAATAATTGTCGGACTTTGTCCATTTCATAATGTGTGACGTCATTTGTTTACATTTGGATACGCATTGAGCAGATATGAATGTATGAGAAAAAATCATGGAGAATTGTGTTTAAAAGTAGTAAAATTGACCTTGCTAACCGAACGCTCATCTGTGGCCCAATCGGTTAAAGCACGTTAGGCTATATGACGGTTCCGTATAGGATACAGATTCTTTTACTCTCGGAGGACGCATATTTTCTATAAAAATTTCTCGGACATTCAGTAACTTTTTCATTTTTACTCATACATATATATTTTTTATAAGCATTTAAGGACTTTGCTGCTATAGTCATAGTTGACTTTACTTATTGTGGGCTTTAATTCTCTTATATAAAGCGCTTCAATGATTTTTAGTTCTTGCTTATTATTTATGTAATATAGATGTATTTTCAACTAATATCCGTCTAATCTGTGAGTGTGTGCATGAGTGTTCCTTTAAATGCTGAGTTATTGAACTATGCTCAGTTAAATGAAATATAAATCTTTTTGTTAGCATCGTCGTAGTAAAGCCAAAGTACGTATTGACATTTTTATCAGAAATAAAATAGAGATTTAAATGGATATTCAAGAAATTAATTTGTGAATTTGAAAGGATCACAACACAACGAAACCTAATCGACATATGTCTAGATTATTTAATCAAACCTGTTTGAATGGAAATATGCTGTCTAAATATACTATATATATATATATATATATATATATAAATATATATATATATATATATATATATATATATATATATATATATATTCATTGATGCATGTTTCATTAAATAATATAGACAAGTTTTAACTATTTATTTTAAGTAAGTTCCTTTCATATTGTCTGATTTTAAGTAAGTTCCTTTCATATTGTCTGATAAGCTTAATAACATTATCATTGAAAGACGAAACGAAATCCCCATATTGATACATGTTTAAATCCAATCTAAGCTTTCGGCTTACATAAGCCATTATCAAAGATGACAATTACATTTCAAAATATCAACACATTTTCGGGCGAAACAATAATGATAGTCTGTTGAAAAATTTCAAAGCAATGACAAACTCGTGTATACGAGACGCGGAAGCAAAAATCACGTCGCAGCTCGTGACGTCACATATGACCACGCGAAAGTGAAAACGAGCAGTATTAAGTATGGGAATCCGTTGGTACAAACCAATGGCTTCTGATATGAATTATAGGCATTTAAGAATATTTGTGGAGATTTCGTAGTTTATTTTGTTCAGGTTAGGTTTATTTAATGAAACATGAATCAATGAAAAACTGCTGCCTATATATATATATATATATATATATATATATATATATTGTATAGGGGCAGCAGATCATTATTCAAACATATATTGCTAAATATAACAGACAACGAATGTCTGTTATGTTTTATCATGAGTCGTCCCAAGCTTCGTATAATGGCTTTAGTTTAGGGAGAAAACGAGAAGTATTAAGTATGGGAATCCGTTGGTATAAACCAATGGCTTCTGTTATCAATTATAGGCATTTAAGACTGTTTGTGGAAATTTCGTAGTTTATTTTGTTCAGGTTAGGTTTATTTAATGAAACATGCATCAATGAAAAATTTCTGCCTAAATATAGTGTATAGGAGCAGCACATCATTATTTAAACAAAATAAAGAAAAAAAATTGTCCAACATGTTAAATACAAAATTCTGTGGATAACATTTCTCTCTCACGTGGTCAGGTACGGCGTCTTAGAACAGAACATTATGAATTTACGACCTGCATCCTCTATTCCATGACCGTTGTTGTCGCATTGCAAACATCTATGTAAACAAAACAGGATGTCATTTTGACGATGAATATCTCCTTTGTAAATTCCAAATAACCATTCTGATAATGACTCATGATAGATGATAATTGTTGTGGCCTTGTTACGGCCAGAAATAAAAACACGAGAGAGGAATTGAGTTAAGCAAATATATTTACATAAAACAGTAATACAAACATATACAAATGAGAGTGTTACAGCAAGAATGTTCGGCCCGACTGTCAGAGCTAACTGCTAGAAACTTCCCTCTCCAAAAGCAGTAACTGTTCCTATTTATGGCTGGGAGAGTCCATGCGTGCGTGGATAAATTACCATAACAATAATATACATTCATTGTCTGTTAGTTAATAATATATATATATATACTCGCACGACTCTCCCGTCGACTTCGACGTATGAGGGTCAAGCAGATCAGTTCCCAGGAAACCGACAGCCCGACAACAGCACATAAGATTTGATTATAGTGGTGAAGTTTTATGGCAGGACCATCCACACTTTTTGAATATATATATATATATATATATATATATATATATATATAAACATTGAAGTGACAAAATATGCTATACTTTAATCTTATTAACTTTTTTTTATTAAAAACTGTAAAAGGGTGCAAACGAAAATGTTCAGTTTATGATGTAGGTACTGTGAATCGAACGTGTCAAAAGTGGTTTGCGAAGTTTCTTACTTGATATTTTTCGGTGAATGATGTTCTATGACCAGGTAGTTGAAGTTGGTAGTAATCAAATCATAGTAATCAACACATTCTACTTGTATGTACTGTGTCTCTTCAGGACTTTGATGATCACAGCTCTCCATAATTTCCTGTCCCTGCTAGCTCATAGTACAGTTTGTATTTTATTATCTCTCCTAATCCCTGTTCTGCCATACATACTCGTTAGGTAGATTACGTTCTGTTTTCCTCTTGTTCTCAATATGTCCTGTGAATGCCAAATTTTTCAAGCTTTCTTTCCTCATTATGCATCCTAGAAATCTCCAGTGTCTCCAGTTGATACTAAGTATAAATGTCATTTTTTCCATTTCATTTAAAACTTCGTCGTTCGGTCCAACGTATCCTTAGCATCCTTCTGTAGAACCACATTTCTGTTACTTCAAGTCTCTTCTTCATCTGTGAGGAGATTGTCCAGCATTCAGCGCCATGTAAGAGGGCTGATATCACGTAACAGATAGATATGAATACATCATAGATAGATACAGATCTACTGCAAATAAATAGATAGATATATAGATGTGAACTGAGAGTTAGATGTCGACGTAGAAAGATAGATATGGATAGGTTTAAAGAAAGAAAAAGAGGGAGAGAGAAAGAAAGAAAATGAATAGAATAAAATAGATAGATAGATAGATAGATAGATAGAAAGGTAAATGTGTTTGTTACGAAGATATTTGTTTCCAGTAAAAGAATTTCAAGCCATTTTCTCAGCAATAGGGATTCTTTTCTATTCTATTGTTCAAGCGAAACACTCGCTTAAGGCTTTTATCTTGTTGGCGCCTATTTCCGAAACTCGGGTCTCAGTCTCTTTCTAATTATGTCCGATAAGGTAAGTGGTCATCACGAGATTAGATGCTTCTTGAATCGCCACCGGGTCGGATGTAAGCCGTTGGAGAGAGAAGTCGGTAGCCGGGTCACTTTCTTACACGTTGTCCATGGTCCTATTTAGGTTGCTATTTGGCCTCAAGCCGCTGCATGTGATGACCTCCTGTCGATATTTTAATTTGATTCTGGATAATTTTGGTTGTTCTACGCTGTAATTTCGCAGTGGGATGATAGATAGATATGAAGAGACTGAAGATAGATAGATAGATAAGAAGTAATAGATAGATAGATAGATAGATATGAAGTAGTAGTTAAATGGATATGAAGAGACTGACGATAGGTAGATGTAAAGAATTAGATAGATAGACAGATAGATATGAAGTAATACATAGATAGATGGATAAATATGAAGAGACTGAAGATGGACATGAATTAATAGATAGATATGAACATAGATAGATAGATAGATAGATATGAATAGACTAGGATTGGTCGACAGATATGAATAGAATGGGATAGGTAGACAGAGAGATAGATATGAATAGAATGGGATAGATAGATAGAGTTGAAAAGATTGATAGGAAGCTGGAAGGATTACATAATCTAAAACAGACTGTTCACATCTATCTATCTATCTATCTATCTATCTATCTATCTATCTATCTATCTATCTATATAGATAGATAGATAGCAACCTACATACATAAATGTACGCACAGCTACACATAAAAGTGGAAAGAAAAAAATGAACAACCTTAAATCGCTGAAGGCAGACTGAACTGTGTAGAAATGTAGAAAGATATGAGCATGCATATATATATATATATATATATATATATATATATATATATATATATATATATATATATATATATATATGTGTGTGTGTCTCTCTCCCTACACACTCACACATATACACACATATATATATGACCAATGCAGAGTGGGGCAAGTATCGTATACACACAGAGAGAGACACACACACACACAGAGAGAGAGAGAGAGAGAGAGAGAGAGAGAGAATGAAACAATCTGGGATATACATATAGATATATAAGAACTGATTGAAATAAGTGGCGATCTAATTTTGTAACTTTTTCGCCAGACGCGAAACAGAATTGCTATCAGGTGATTTTAATGATAACCATTTTAACCAATGTCTTAATATTCTCATTTGGGTGTATATTTATCTAGAGATGTGAGTTTAAATTGGGAATTGATGGAACAGCTTTATACGCCATATTCACACTCGATCTTTATTCGATTAAATTCTAAGAACATTTGCCACATGGTCTGAATTCTGGAGCTCACATTCAAAAGTGTGAGCTTAGGAAAACTTGGCTGCTAACCAGTTATGCTACAGGAAAGCACTTCTGTGTTTTGCATTTTGCAATGACTTGAGATTTTAGCTTTCTTTTAACTCTATTTCCAGAGCTTTTTTTTTGGGGGGGGGCTCAGTTGTAGCCCATCTATGCGTAAATAACCAGGTGATATATGTACCTGAAAAAGGTCGAAAGATGCAGCGACAGAAACAACAATAATTAAGATACACACGCAAATATTCCGTGGAAAAATGAAAATAACGGAATATTTTAAGCCTTTTTTTTCTCTCATTGTAAGGGATAAGATTTTTTTTTGCTTTGTTGGTTACTTTCCTTCTTTCTTTGGCATTCGATCACCTTTTCTATTTTTACACTTTCTTTCTTTCTTTCTTTCTTTCTTTCTTTCTCCGATGACCTTTCTTTCTTATCACTTTTCTTTCTTTCTTTCTTTCTTTCTTTCTTTCTTTCTTTCTTTCTTTCTTTCTTTCTTATCCTATCACTTTTCTTTCTTATCCTATCACTTTTCTTTCTTTCTTTCTTTCTTTCTTTCTTTCTTTCTTTCTTTCTTTCTTTCTTTCTTTCTTATCACTTTTCTTTCTTATCACTTTTCTTTCTTTCTTTCTTTCTTTCTTTCAATTATTTCTTTCTTTCTTTCTTTCTTTCAATTATTTCTTTCTTTCTTTCTTTCTTTCTTATCACTTTTCTTTCTTATCACTTTTCTTTCTTTCTTTCTTTCTTTCAATTATTTCTTTCTTTCTTTCTTTCTTTCTTTCTTTCTTATCACTTTTCTTTCTTATCACTTTTCTTTCTTTTCTTTCTTTCTTTCTTTCTTTCTTTCTTTCTTTCTTTCTTTCTTTCTTTCTTTCTTTCTTTCTTCTCCTCCCACCTCGACATTTCTGTCTATGTTATAGACAACTGAATCCCTTCATCAGAACTACTTGTCCCACGGAGGAGAAAGACATTTTAAAGGACAATGTATCCTCGTAAACATCGCGATATCAAGGGTTAGGATGATACGAAAAGAGATCTAGACAAGTTTTAATGCTTTTATTCAGTTAATATAAGTACATTGCCTGCAAAAACTAGTGTATGTATGTATGTCTTAAGTGTGTAGAAATGTTCGTACGAATTTCTTGTGAAAGTGGTCTGAGTTAGTATGTCTGCCTTGTTCTTTGTGTAAGAGCGTGTTCCTTCCAAAACACTTCGTTGGAGACTTGCACACGCATCTAAATTTGGAAGGTTTGATTCCCACTAAGCCCCGAATGGAAAAGAAAGATTTTCTTTTTTTTTATTTCCCTAGAACATCGATTTTCATTGGTCGAATATCATCACGTCAGCGTTTGCTGTGAACTACGCATGTTTGGAGAAAAGGTTGACTGGTGCTTTTTTGCTAGTTCATTCCTGTCTGGTGTCAGCGAGTCTGGCTTTTTTCATTCACGTGGTGAATTTATTCTTCGGAGGCACGACAGGTAATGTATTTTAATCATTGTTGCTGGTTGCTTCAGACCAATTCCCTCGTCGTTGGGGATTTGTTTTATTTTTTTGTTTTTTTCAAAAACGTTTCAACCGAATATTCTCTGACCTTACTCAGGAATTTTATGCTGGAATCTTGTTGAATCTCTACTCATATGTCGCATCAGCAGGTACTTGGCATCGTCACCGGTTAATTACTGCACTGAACTCCTTGCCTTGTTGGTATTTCCAGAAATAGAACATTTTAGCTCCCGAGGGAAAGGGTTAACAGACAACAACCAGAGTTGTCTAAACACGTTGTCAGAACACGTTTAGTTAGATTTGGAATTTGTTAACTTTCTAGTTGTTCACATTATCATCATAAACACGAAATGTTTTATAATTTACACTACCGGCAAAAAGTTACCGGTGATCTGCATCTTTTAAAAAAACACACCTTAAAAATGAGATATTTATGCATTTTTTAAGTAAAAGATAAAATATATTTTGACACTCCCTTTTTATACAACAGCATCATATTTTGTTTTAGTCAATAAAACCACCACCTGTCTTAATTACTTCTTTACAATTTTTTTTTCAAGAGGTTCGGACGCCTCACTCGTATGCCTATCAACCAACCAGCCCTACGAGCATACACTCAGATACTCTGGATGGAGAGCGAGAGGCAGACCAAGAAGACGCAGGGGCGACTCAGTGGCAGACACTCTCAGAGCCTACGAGATATCTCTCCGCCAGGCCACTCGTCTTGCCGCTGACAGACGACTGTGTCTCCCCACGACGCCTAACAGCACAAGCGGAAGGAAAAACTAAAACTAAGACAAATTTTTGCCATTTTTTCCAACAGTTTTTTTTAAAAAAAAGATGTATATGGCTGACCTTCCCAAGCACTCTGCAAGCACTGAAATGCTCATTCTCACTCTTTGAATATTCTCTTCATATTCTTCTATCCAGTTCATCCCATACCAATTCAATGAGAGAAAGGTCAGGAGAATGCGGCGGCCAAGTATTAATTTCCAAAATTTTGTTCCTATTTTTTGATTCGAGGTAATTTTAACATAATTTAGAAAAGTATTTTGGATAGTTGTCATGTTCAAAGATGAATACGTCTGCCGGAAAGAGGTTGTAGAGTGAAAAACACCTCAACACCCTCCTAGATGTTTTTGGATTCAGACCGTGAATACTGTGTGCTGCTCAAGCCCAGACATGGCAGCAATACTCCATTTCTAGCCTGATCTGGCGCATATAAAGGCGAGGAGACAGGTACTTGAGGGAACCGACAATTTTTCAGCATCTTTAGCGATGGGCCCGTATATACTTGAGGTCTGGGTCAATTTTAAGTCCCAGTAGGCATTCAAGACAAAAGAGACTTGATCTCTGTCAACCCCTTTTTGTTCTTGTTTCCCTTTTATGTACCATGTCATTTTAAGAGGTGAGTGATAATGGCACTCCACAGCTTTCTGTCTTTGGTTGATCTAAGTAACTTTTGATTCGTTTCCATTTCTATATGTTTTTATCCATTCACTTCTTCTTTTATGTATCCTGTCCCTTCAGCATCTGGTTGGGTATGGCTCTCCACAACTTCCTATCTTTTATTACTCTAAGTAAGTTTTGATCATATACAATCACTCTTTGTTTTTGTTTTGCCATCCATTCACTTTTTTGTGTATTGTGTCCCTTTAAGAGTGAGCGATCATGGCTCTCTCCAACTTCCTGTCTTCGGCGCTAAATCCGTTAAGTAGGTTACTCGCCGTTCACCCTGATTTTCCTGCTTTCTCATGTTGTGAGTGTCAAATTCTCCGGACACTCTTTCCTCATTATGTATCAAGGAAATTTCACTCGTTTCTTTCTAATTGGAGTTACTTACATGCTTCGTCAATGACATTCTCATCATCCTTCTGTAGAACCATATTTCTATTGCGGTCTCCTTGTCATTTGTTTACTATTCACTGCCATATAGAGATTAGAATTTATATAGAAGTTCAGCACTGTTCTCTTTGTTTCTATTTTTTTAATCTTTAAATACTTTGTTTAGATTCTGAAAGACATATTTAATTTCTGTCTATATTTCTGAGATGAGGTATTATGATTACTTACATTATTTTCATTATTTGGACTGTTATTCTCATTTTCATTGCTATATTCACAACGTTTCGGCCGTTGTACGCTCCGACCTACTTTAGGTGATTGGAATTTCACCTGAAGAAGTCCGGAGCGTACAATGGCCGAAATGTAATATTTAATTTGACTTTTACTAGTTGCTCCGCATTTGTGGCCTTGTGTCAAACTGAGCTAATCTTAGTAAATATCTAGAGCGTTTTTATAACGAAGTACTACAGATTTTAATCACTGTTCATCGATTTTTTGTTTTGCCCTTAAAAAACAAACAAAAATGAACATTCAGTCAAATTCTTTTGCAAATTTCTCAACTAACGCAATTATGTAAAAAAAATGAAAGTAAATGAAAAATAAATCAATGAACTAAAAAAGATTAAAAAGTTTAGAAAGCAAAAAACAGTAGAGCGTGATGATAGAATTAAGGGAAATCACGTGACAGCAGAAGTGCATTCTTTCATTACATCATCGCCTGATATCTGTCATTCAGTGGAAAGCAGACGACACTCGATGTCTCAGGATAAATTCCTTACAGAAAGGGATTTTAATCCCAAAAATATGTCCATTAAAAAAAAATCTAATTATCAGTCACTTAAATTTTATCCCGGGTAATTGTCTCAGTAGTAATTACGACCAGCTTGGCGTGGCTAATTAATATAATGATATATAATTGAAAAAAAAAATGTAAGATGATTCGGCTTTTTTTTTTTTTTTTTTTTTAATGAGAAATGAACGGAGTTAGTTTTTCTCGATGCACCCAAATCGAAAGGGAATAAAATACAGATCAAAATAAACAGAATGCTTGCAAAATCAATATTATCAAATTGAATGGAAATAAACGTAAGTAAAAGTCGAACAGATCCAATGTTTTATGTTTAGTTAGTTTTTTTTTTGTTTTACAGCATAACAGCCTCAATGGGTTATTTGATGCTGACAAGATTTTTATTGCTGGTTATATATTTTTTCAAAAATATATTGTTAAAATTTAAAAAAAAATATTTATTGTTGGTAAAAATTGTTCCCAAAAATTATTGCTGGTATTAAAACCTATTTTTATACTTTCATATTGTTTTGACACCTTTTTTGGGGGGGGGTATTTGTCCATATCTGGGACCCTGACAGGTACTACCACCCTGGG